CCAAGCATGACCTTACAGGACTCGTCGGACTGTCCCTGTGGGTCTTCAAGAACTCAACTTTCTCCCTTGGACTGGCTTTCAAACTGCTAACAGCCCAACTCTTAATCCACTTACTCCACCACTGTGGCTCTCCATAAAGATGACAAGCTGGAAAACCCTAAGGGGCAGCCCTACTCTGCCACAGGGGTCTCTGTGAGTTGGGAATCATCTGATAGGATCCAGTAATTACCTCAGAGGAATGCCTTTTCTGGCTGACCTCTGAATTCTTCCTGTAGAGCTTATGGCTTATGGTCTGGTTGTACTGCCTCTTGTCAACCCCCTTCCATCTTCTCCAGGTCTGGGTGTGATTTTAGGCACCGAAGGTAAAACCATTGTGAGAACAGGCCCACTGCTTCACTAAATACCAACGCTATTGGTAGAGCAAAAGGGTTGGAAAGCTACGGAGAGAGGATGGCCAGAACTGGCAGCCACACTATTTTTTTCCCTATGAATGCATTTATCACAGCAGACTTAAAATCTGTGAGCAGTTTTAGGATTGTGAAAAAATTGAACACAAATGAGTGAGAGCTCCCAGGTGTCCTTCCTCCATAGCCCTGCACATTACTGCTTCTCCTACACTAACACCTTATATCACTGGGGAACTTTTTCTGTCATCGTTGAGCCAATGCCGGTCCATCATTACTGTGAAGCCGGTGAACGCCAGAACCTACAAGTGTAGGGTAGAATCTGTGAGAGAAGGAAAACTCTAATATTTTCAATTAATGCAGAGCCATAAAATCACAAAACCAACAGCGGTGGTTTCCTAACAAAAGCCAGACATATGGGAGCTCCAGAAGGAATCCAGTCAGTCCCCTCTCAGCATCTCAGAGTTTCATTGTATTAACCAAAAGTCCCAACTTTCATCTGGGTTCCTTCTTTATTTGGTCCTGAGGGTTTCTGGGTACCTTTCTCGACGTGCTCACTCATCAACGCCAAGAAATTTGGTGGACCCACTGCAAAAGATCCATATTTGTGCCCATTTCAAAGAAAGCTCATTCACTAGAATGTAGCCATGATTGAACAATATCATCAGTATCACGTGCAAATAACATTTTGCTGAAGAAAATTTAGAAACTGTTGTAACAATATATCAATAAGGGATGGCAGAAAGTCAAGCCTGATCCAACAGTCGATGGGGAACAAGGGATGTCTTTGCTGAAGTCACATGGGCTTGGGCTGAATGAGAGTGTTGTAGTTATGTAACTTTTTGTCAATTTGAGAGGATTAAGAGTGAAGGGATGGAGACTAGCCTGTCAATCAGGTGATAGACAATGAGGTCTCTGTGTGGTCATGGCCTTCTCCTGAGGATTCTGCGAACTCCGAACTCCGGTATTCCTCCTTGGACGCGGGAGACATTCTCTCTCTCAACTCACTCTCTGGAGACATCCCTGTCAAGAATACACATGGAACCAAACTAATGCCCTGAGCTGGAGGAGCCACATAGAGAACCCTGCCATCACTGAGTTGCTTACAACACCACAAGATCCACAAGCCTTTCCATCCACTGGCCTGTGATCTGCCTGCATTCAGTGTGATTTCATGTATTTCGTGAGTCAGAAGAGGACTTTATTGATTGCTATCAGATATATGGGTTAGTATCAGACTGATAGACATGATCTGGACTGGGCTGCGATGTTTTCTCAATATTCAATTGCTCTTGTATATAAAGCCATTTTTAATACACATATGAGTATTTATGAATTTGTTTCTCTAGTCTACCTGGACTAACACACAGAGAATACTAAAAAAAGTTCATCATTGTTTTACAGCTATGTAATGGTATTCAACTATGTGACTCATAATAAATTATGAATAGCATTTGATAAGAATGTAAACTCTTTAAGACCGGAGTGTGCTCATGAGGAACCTGTGTATGGATGGTGAAGCAGCCATTCTATCAATGGGATACTGCCTGGTTTAAAAGCAGGAAAGGTGAACATAAATCTGGCATTCTTCCAACATGCTTATTCAATATGTATGCTGAGACATTTTTCTGAGAAGCTGGACTATTTGAAGAAGAACTAGGTAGTAGGATTAGAAGAAGACTCACTAACAACAACTTACAACATCCCAAGAACCAGAAATGACACAATCTTACGTGGTGAAATGTTAAAAATTGGAAGCTGTCTCTTTGAGGACTAAGATGTTCCTGACCCAAGCCATGGTATTTTCAATTGCCTCAAATGCAAGCAACACCCAGCAGATGAATAAGTAAGACTGAGGAATTGGAAAAGTTGAATTTGGGGGTCAGAGGAGAATATTGAATATGGTGTGTGTAGTGATTAATAGTATGTGTTATGTTGCCTTGGCAATGATTTGCAGTGATTTGGCAGATGTTATGAAACAAATCTCTGTTCTGTGATACTGTGTGAGCAGCCATTCAGTTAAGAGGAGAATTTATTTGAGGTGTGGCCTGCATCCAAAGTATATGTATCTCCAGCAAAGCTTGATCGTCTGGATTCTTCATGCGGCTCATCATTCTCTGATGTATAGTTCTTGGGACGTGAGCCTACTGTCTGACTTATAAATTTCTGGATTCCCTTAATCTTACAGACTTGCCCTTTGCTCTGCAGATTTTGGATCGTCTGCCCTTTCAACCACGAGGTTCAGGGAAAGTCTCCAGCCTGATTTCTGACTCACCGATCTATTAGCACATTAAATTGTTTTGGAGTAAGTGAGCCAGAATGCTCCTTATAAATTACGATGATCTGCTACGTCTTCCATAGGGTCATTGCACGTGAAAACGTGACAATGAATAAGGAAGACTGAAGAAAAACTGATGCCTTTTTAAAAATTATGGTGATGGTGAAGAACATTGAATACATCCCGAGCTGCCAAAAGAACATAAATCTGACTTGGAAGAAGTACAGCCAGGATGGTCCTTAGAATTAAAGATGAGATTTCTTTGTTTCAAGTACTTTGGCTGGGTTATCAGAAGGGGTCAGTCCCTGGAGAAGGAGATGGTGCTTGGTAAAATAGAGGGTGGGTGAAAAAGAGGAAGACTTTCAGGGAGGTGGATTGACATAGCGGTTGCAGCAATGGGAGGCTGTAACTGTGCTCCAACCTAGCCAGGTCTCCTCTCATGCTCTTTGATCATGTTGTCAGGAATGACCAGTTCTTGGAGGAGAACATCATACCTATCAGAGGGTCAACCAACAAGAGGAAGACATAAAACAAGGTGGATCACCTACTGCTGCAATCATAAGGGCAACATAGCAACAAATGGGAGGATGACCCAGGACAGGGCCGTTTTTCATCGTGTTGTGCATAGAGGGAACCCACACAATGGTACTGAACCAGAACTTTGACAAATGCCCAGACATGTGGCTGGGATGACGACATCGTGCTGAATTGTTTCACTGCCCTGAGAATGCCCCATTTTCAACCTCTTGATCTCTTTTCCTCCCCGCTGAGCTGCTGGAACCGTGCCCTTCTCTCGGTGTCCTTTTACCTTTAGTGGGATATTCAAATCATGTGTAGGCAGCTCTTTCGGATTCGCCTCTGTTATTGTGTTTATTGTTGTTGGGTGCTGTCGGATGGATCCCGACTCGTGGCCCCCCCTGAGACAGAGTAGAAATGGACTATAGGCTTTTCCCGACTCTGCTCTCTGCCAGAGCTCGTCACCCTTCTTTCTCGTGCAGCACTAGCTGCTGGTTAACGACATGCAGTCAAAGTTCTCCCCAGATCTTTTTGAAATAGTAATTCTTTTTGATTTTGAAAAATTTCAGACATGTACCCAAGACAAGAGAAGATGATAAAGATCCCCTACATATCCACCACTCACCCAGCTTCAGGGGTTATTGACTCCCGACTAATCTGTGATGACCTGCACCCCATCCTGTCCTACTTCTCCTTTAACTAAAGCAAGCCCTGGACATTGCATCCTGAAATCCCAAAAAGATGTCAGGAGTAGCTCTAAAAGATGAGAACCATCTCTTTCTTGATGAACTAGAACCACAGTACTAGTAGTCTAAGTATTCCTTACTGAAGCCGAGTCCGGGAGCCTGGGTGAAGCAGGCATCACGTGAGGATGGTCATGGTTTGGGAAATGCTCCATACTCCAGGTAGAGGGACCTATGAGAGGTGGCTGATGTGTGGCTTGCTGGGAGCAGTGGAGTCAGAGGGTCAGACTTGGGGTCATGAGCCAGGCCCTGGATGGGGTCCACTCCATCATGATGCAGCATGTTGAGTAAGTCTGTGGCCAGTCTGGCACTTCAGAAAGAGCTCCAGCCACTCTGTGGAGGGTGGGTGTGGAAGGAGGTTGTGGCCAATTCTTCCAGAGTTTTCTTTTCTGTATCCAACAGGGGAAGGTTTTGGAGGCTCTGAAAATCTGCTCTCTGCCCCGATTTGTCCGTTTTATGCATGATCTCATGCCAGTAAAGCAGGATCCAGATGTCGTGGTCACAGACCTCCGTTTTGGATCAAACCCTGTGAAGCTGTACCAGCCAAAGACGTCCTCCTTGACCCCCAGGACTGGCATCATATTCTACCACGGTGGTGGGATGGTCCTAGGAAGCTTGAGTAAGAATGTTTCCTCAGATCTTGTAAAAATTAAATGTATCCCAACCCCATAGCAGGGTCCCCCACCATCCAGCATATAGCTGTGTTTCAGAACAGAATCTCAGCATCTGTGAGGCATGAAAAGTCACTCTGGTTTCCTGGAACCACTCATGCCCATCATCCAAGTGGCAAAGATATGAAATGTATTCATCTCTTTTGGAAGTCAGGTGATATCTAAATCCTAAACTCATAGCTTTGAGTTGCTTTGAACATTGACTACATAGGATAGAGTAGAATTGCCCTCTAAAGTCTCCAGGGTGGTAATGTTTATGGGATGTGACTAGCACATCTTTTCCTGTGGTGTGGCTGGTGAATGAGAACCACCAGCCTTTTGGGTAGCCGCCCTGTGCTTAACCGGGATGCTCGACAGATTGATGTGTAGTTAGATAGATAGGTACATAGGTTGGTGGGTGGATGCATGGATGGATGGGTAGATAGATGATAGATAGATAGATAGACAGGAAGGCAGGCAGATATATAACTGAATGAGCCCTGGTGATATAGCGGGTCATGCTTTGAGCTGCTAACCACTAGATCAGCAGGTAGAAACCGTCAGCGGCTTACTACTCCTCTCAAGATTGATAGTCTTAGAAACCCACATTCCACCCCGTCGTATAGGGTTGCTATGAGTTAGAATAGACTGAATGGCAGTGCATTTCATTTGGTACATACATATGTGTATGTTTGTATGTATAGTTATATGATCACACAAGTACTTTTTAACTGAGGTGAAAGTCACATGACATGAGTCATGTTACAGTGTATAATTCAACGACATTTCATATATTCACATTGTTTTGCAGCCACCAACTGAATTTAGTTGGACGTAAGAATATTTGAAGTGAAATTAACTCAGGTTGTTTCACATTAAATTTTGCCTGAGATAACTTGTGATGTCAACAAGAGGACAAGACGTTTGAGGAATATTCCTGAGAGGAAAAACTCAAAATGGAGAGAATCTCATTATCTTCCCCTTTTCTCTTACAAGTTTGAGGGCAAATACCCCTCTCCTTTTTCAAAAATTTGATTGGTGCTGTCTGGTCTTAGAATGCCAGGGTCCCATTGCAGTTGACAGGTAAGATAGGTACGTAGATGAATGGATGGGTAGATGGATGGATAGCTAGGCAGGTATGTAGTTAGGTAGAAAGATGATAGTAGATTGATGGGTAGATAGATGATTGTCTGATAAATGATAGGTATGTGGGTGGTAGGCGGATACATACATAAATACATACATACACAGATAGGTGGATAGTCAAGTTAACAGACAGATAGATGGATGGATGGATAGCCTGAGATAGAGAAGGAGGTAGCAGTAGACGGGGATAGCTAGACTGATGACAGATGATAGATAGATAGATGACAGACAGACAGACAGATAGAGAGCTGTGTTTGAATTGACTCTTACTCATGGCGACCTTCTGCACAACACAACAAACTGTTGCCAAGTCCTGTTTCATTTGAATCATTGTCAGGATGTTCCAGTCCATTGTTGTGGAGATTTTGTCCATCTGTCTTACTGAGGGTCTTCCCTGCCTTCACCTCTCTTTCACCAAACATGATGTGGACTCCTCTAGTGATCACTCCCTCCTGGTGGTGTGTCCAAGTCGAGTGAGGCAGAGGATGAATGCTCTGTTGGGATTCATGAAGTTTCGAATTGGCTAATTTTCACAAGTTCATCACCAAGTTGTTCTTCCTAGTCTGTCTTTTTCTAGAAGCCCTGTTGGACCCTGTGCACCAGGGAGACCCTGCCGGTATTTGAAATACTGGTGGCAGAGCTTCCAACATCATAGAAACACTGTTGTTTTTACAATTACGACATTGCAATTACAACATGACCATATTACAACACACTGACAGATGGTGGGTGGTCAATTGTAGTAGGGATGAGAATAAAAATTTACAATAACTGTCTCTTGTTGGGAATGCATGATAAGATGTCAGTAACAGACACTGTCTACTAAGTGCTTAGTTCCAGCTGGCACCATGGAAGCTCACAACAGTCCTATGAGGGAGACAGAATCATAATCCCTGTTGGGCACAGGGGGTGGGTGTGTGTGAATCAAGGTTCAGGGAGGTGAAGGGACTTGCTGGGAGCTGCTTTCGCTCAAGCTAGAAAGAGGCAACATTAATATTGAACCTCGGCTGTGGGGCCCAGAGTTTACATCCTTCCCACGGTGTTTCACTGCCTGGCAGTTTTTTGGATGGTAGTACCTATCAGGACAGGCAGCGCCATCTAGAAAGTTGGTCAGACACCATAACTGAGGAGAAATTGCAGAAGCTTGCTGGAGGTCTAGAAGCACATTTTCAAACTCTAGTAGAGTCTGATTTTTCAGAAGGAGATGGTCATATTTTTCCTCTGAGAGACCTGACACAAAGTGAACTTGAACCTCCAACCTTCCTGTTAGCAGCTGAGCGTGTTAACTGTGCCCACTAGGCCTTGGAGAGCACAGTTCCACTCTGTTACACATGAGGTCAACTGACACATAGAAGGTGGAGTCTTGATAGCAATTGAGAAGTTGAGATTTGATGGGAACTGGAAAATTAAAAGGTGGCGCAAGCACTCAACCAAGCCGTCAGTAAAAAGGGAGCAGTTAGAGATACCTGGGAGCCCTGGTGGAAGAGTGTGTTGTGTGTTGGGCTCCTTATCACAAGATCAGCAGTTCAAAACCACCAGCTGCTTCTTGGGAGCAAGATGCTGCTTTCTAATTCCCATACAAGTGGACAGCATCATAAATGCCCAGGGGCAGGTCTACTCTGCCCCATAAGGTTACAGGGAGTCGGAAACCCCACGATGGCAGGGAGTTTAGGTGAGTAACAACACCAGCAGAGAAGGCTTGCTGGCTCCCAGAGCAAAGATGAACAGCATCTTCTTTTCCAGAATCCTATCACCGCATATGCTGTCACTTGTGCAAGGTGAGCGGCTCCGTGGTTCTGTCTGTTGGGTAAGTAAGGGGGCGAGCAGGGGAGAGGGGAGGAAGCTTGGTGCAGGGTGGGCAGCGTTCCAGATGAGGGTTTGGGGAGGTGGAAGTGGGTGGAATGTTGGGTTGGGTTCCAAGAAGCCAGTGGGTGAGAAAACAAGGAAGACAAAGGGAGAGGAAGAAGGATGCAGACAGAGAGAAAGATTAAAGAGCACACTCCTGTGTGTGGTCCTGAGACATGTAGAAACAGATGTTTTGTTCAAATCGCTTCACCTGGAAACAGCGTGGGGCATAATGTTTATTAAGTAGGTGAGTTACAGAGTTCTCATTGGGGTGGATCACATTGGGGTGGATCAGTTGTCTGTTGAGAGGCACACTCTGGCATGTTCTGGAAACTTTGTCCCTCCCTCTACTAAATGCCAACATGGTAACCAGTCCAACCTAAAATCATTTGGCCATTTCCAAGTGTTTCCTAGAGGGATCACCCTGAATAGGAATTATGAAGAGAAAGAGGAGAGAGAGAGAGAGAGAGAGAGAGAGAAAGGGAAAGAGAGAGAGAGAGAAGCAAGTAAGCAAACAAGTTCTTCTAACTGGTCTCAAGCCACCTGGAACCTGGAAGGGAGCTTGGAGGACATTAGGCAGGAACTGGCCTGGCTCTCTTCACATAGCATCTTCACATAGGCCAACAGAGGAGCTGGCATCACGAGTTGGGTGGCCAGATCCTTCTGCCTGACCCTCCCCACACAGGCTCTGTATTAGTCTGGATACTTTGGAGAAACAAATCCACAGAAACTCATGTATAAGAGAGTTTTATGTAAAGAAAGTGTGCATCACGAAAACATCCCAACCAATGCTGCCCAAGACCACAAGTCCAACATTAACCCATTAACCCAACACCAGTCCACAAAGTCTTCCACCTCACAAAACAGAGGCAATGATGCCGACTGCAGGAGGAAAGCTGAGTCAGTGAATAAACAAGCATCTCAGCACTAGCAGGGGTCTCCACAC